TAATTATTCAATAACAGTTTATCTAGAAGAGCTTATTAGAATGAAAGATTAAAATATTTTTTTGGAATGTTATTTATCTAATTTTTGTGTAATTTCATGAAATTAAAAATTTAGGATTATTTTCCATAAATAAATAACCATTATCTCTATTATATTTTTAAGTGGAAAAAAAGAAAGTGTGTAGAATATTAGTTAGTAGATTAGGTGGAATAAATAGTTGTTCCTTCCTCACTATCATGAATGGGGAAGTAAAAGATTCAAATTCATAAAAATAATTAAAAGTATAGATAGTTGGTGGCCAATTTGGTGGGTTTTAGTCTTCAAGAATCAAGGATTAGCCTCTTGCTTTAGTGGGAAGGTAAGTACGAAGACAAGGATTCCTCTTCACTTCCTTGTAATTACATTTATAGTCTAAAAAATAATAAAATAATAATTATAAAGTGGCAGCTTCTTCATCATGTCGAATATCTAATCTCTTTATCTTTTATCATAGAAAACTACTTGAAGCAAAATATTGGACTATCAAATGGTATTGAGCAATTACAAAGAGGACGATATCTACTAGCAATGGACTTTGATAGTTACAAATGGTATCAAAGTCAAATATTAAACGGTGTGCGAGTGAGAATGTTGAACCTCGAAGGAGGTAGATATTGAGCGGTGTGCCAGTGAGGACATGCTAAGCCTCGAAGGAGTGGACATTGGGTAGTGGTCAGTGAGTACGTTGGGTCCCGAATATGAGTGGATTGTGAGATTTCACATCGGTTGGACAAGGGAACGAAACATATTGAGACAAAGAGGGGTGGATTGTGTGAGATCCCACGTCAATTGGACAAGGGAACGAAACATTGTGAGGCGGTGAGACCACACATCGGTTGGAGAAGGGAACGAAACATTATTTGTAAAGATGTGGACATCTCTCCCTAATAGATACGTTCCTTAAGCTCGAAAGAAAAAAACTTAAAAAGACAAGACCGGCTACGGTCAGGGATGAGTTTGAACCTATTCAAATTTTAATTTTAATCACTCAAAAAAGGAAAATTTTGAAAATTTTTCTACATTGTACAAATTTCTTTAAATTTAAAAAAAGAAAAAAACAAAAAAAACATAGCCCAAATTGCTATATACCAAATTATTTCTCCAGTTTTGACCGGTGAAACCCTCGAACTCCAAAGCTAATCAGCCACCGTACTTGGACCAATTCCACTCGGCGTCAGCCGTGCAAACGACCTCTCACCGCGGTCTTCATGCACCGGAGATCGGCCAGTTCCGGCAACCCTTCCGACGACCTGCGCCGGCACCGAAAACGTCCGCTGAAGGAAATTCCTCCACCGGCCATTTTCTCCGATTCCACCCCGATATCCCCGTCGCAAACTCTGCTCTCTCGGCAACTCCGCCCAGCTTCTGGTCCGGTTCAACGTCGAGTTCATCAGCTGACTCCGGACCGCATCTGGCAACCGCAGAGTGAATCGATCATGACCGGTCGAGTTAGACCGCTGAAATATTCCACTCAACCGCCATCCCAACGACCTCGACCGTGTTGGGGTGCTCCGGATCGGCACCGGACTCGGGTTCGTCACATTTGCCTCTACTGTCGCTTCTTCCCCGGCACGGAGATCGTCAACCACCGGAATGGATACATGGTTCGGCGACGGAGATGGCGACGGAGACGGTACGCTACCGGTTCGTTCTGAGCCGGCGGCCGGATCGAAGTTAATCGTCGACAATGTTACGTCGCCGGGTTTAGGACAGAGATTAGCTCTGCAAACAGGGCAAGTCGAGTGCGAAACTAACCAAGCATCAACACAAACAGAGTGAAAAACATGGCTACACTTCGGAATCAAACGCAGCCGATCACTATTTTCAAATTCATTCAAGCAAACGGCGCATTCCAGTGAGCTTTTTCCGATCTTCAGCCCTTTCACCGTCGAGTACACAAAAGTCGGAAATGTCGCGATGAACGCCGGATCCAATCCACGCACCGGCCTCCACGGCAAGCCTCCACCGCCGCCACCGCCACCGCCTTCTCTCCCATCGAATCCAAATCCTGAACCTCTTCCAAATCGCCGCTCTCTGCAGCGGCGCGTGTAGACAGAGACGATGCCAAGGACGAAGAAGGCGGATATTAACGCAACAAATGCGATCGCCATATTTTTACTGATCTCCGGCTCCGACGATACCGGTATCGTTCCAGCTCCCGTCTCCTGCGCGGCGGCGGCGGCGGCGTGCAGTAACAGAAGCAACAATAATCGGCAAGCGACACCGTGATTCCTCTTCCTGATTACCATCACTGGAATCATCAATAGTCAATGGAGCAGAAATTGAAAATAATTCCGGCGATAAAAGTTCAAATTCCCTTCAAAATTGCTCAAAAAATAGAGCAACAATGGGAAGAACCATAAATTTCAGTGGCGCTCGAGTTGACTTGAGCTTGAGAGAGAGAAATCAATCTGGTTTGACAGCCATTAGAAGAGATTCCGATGGTGGCCACGTATGATATTATCTAATTATCTTTAATTTAAATTATTAAATTGATTAATTTCTTAATTAGTCCATCCAAATAAATATATTTTTTTTTAAATGACGTTAATAAAAATATTTAATCCCTTAAGAAAATTGCCCGCATTTAAAACTATAAGTTTCCTATGATAAGTTGACCTTCCCCCCTTTATTTTTCTTCTCATTATTTATTTATTGTTTTGTCACTAATAATTAAATAAGGATTAAATTTGTTATTTTAAAAATTCAATAAATTAAAAAAATATATTTAAAATTTTAAAGTAAGAAGGTATTTTGTTTGTTTATAATTTAAAGCCTAATTTCATTTTGTTTGTTAATTTATATTTATATATTATGTTATTATTGTATGATTTTTTTTAATGATAATTATTGTTCTCGAGTTGACAAAATTTTATATTTAATTTTAAAATTTTTGAAAGTGATTTGAAGGTTAAAATAGCAAGAAAATAATTATTCAATTTTTATTTTATTTTATTTTGTTTAAATGCATTTGTCGACTAAAGATGGGTCATAGTTTTCATTATTCAAACTCATTTATCTCTAATTTTATTTAAATATTTGGATAGAAATTGCTTTTCAATTTCATCTAGTATGACTTTATAATTAGTTTTTTTTTTAAAATATATAAATATATAACATAGTTTTTGAAAGATAAATGCTAATAATATTTTTTTATTTTTTTAATTAAACGGTCTAAATTATTAAATTTATTTTTTTGTTTAAAATTTAAGCTTTTCAATGGAATTAAATCAAATTTTTAGTCTTTTATGTATTAAATTAAAACCATTAATTTTCATCGTATTTTTTTATTATATGAAATAAAACAGGTTTATTACCTTATGTGATGAAAATTTCACGTCGGCTAACTTAGAGAATGATCATGGGTTTATAAACAAATAATACTCTCTCCATTGATATGAGGTCTTTTGAGAAATTCGACTAATTTAGGGAATGATCATACTATTATGGAGAATCGTGTTCGTCTAACACGTTCCTTAGCAAGTAATCCAGTATAGTTACTAAAATATAATTTGCAAGCATCATAATACAAACAAAAATGGATAAAGATTTATAGAATAATAAACTGAAATTATTTTATTAAATCAAATTTCAAATTCAATTACTCAACAAAACACGAGTTATCCTTTTCGCCGTCCAACGACAATTACTGCTCATCCATCGGGTCGTAGCTTGAAAGGGAAGTTGACTGACGACATGTCGTTCTCCTCTTTTTAGAAGGCTGACTTTGTAAATTCAGTGTTTTTGGTATAGTTTTAAAAGACACAAATATTTTTAATTTTTTTTAATCTCAATTAAATAGTTTAGTTTTTTATTTTTTTAAAATAAAGTTAAGTTATATTTTTAAATAGGTGAATTATATTTAAAAAAACTAGTTTCAATTAATCAATAAAAAATATTTAACCTAGGCAATAATACACACATTTTAGATGACCGGTAAATTTTTTATATTTAAATTTTATATAATTTTAGTTATTAAGGTAGCGTGTATTATGGATAAATACGACCTTTTTAAACCGTAATAAAAAAAATCTGATAACCCAATTCAACCCGACCCGTAAAATAGAGAATTAGGTTGTTCGGGTCACTAAATTTGGGTTGGTTCAAAAGATTTCTCCGATCCAATTCGTTGGAGTGTTACTCTCCGATTTAAAGAAAAAAGAATTTTTTAATAAAAAATAATAATATAAATGTAAGTTGGAATGATTACTGAAATGGCCAACCAATCATTGGAAGCTATAAATAATGTTTATTTTATTATATTTTTAGTTTAAGATTGTTGAAGGGAAGATTCGTGCTGGGCAGAACCGGATGGGTTGACCAAATTAAAATTTAAATATTTTGTATTTATATTAACTGTCTACTTATCTGCCACGTCACAGCCCTATATATATATATATATATAATATGGATTATTTATTAGTCCGGTCGTGTCGGGTTTCATTGAATCGCAATATATTACCAGAACCGTTCAATTTTCTTTTTTTCAAATAAAAAAACTATTGTATTTAAAAAATATAAATTTTTATTATTATTATATGGATGAAAAATTATAATGGTTTGTTTTAAAATATTCAAAATTTTTAAATATTGCATTAATACCCTTAATTTTTTAAAATGACATTGTTGTTATTATACGAACGAAAATCGTTTATTTACATTATTTTAAAATTTATATAAATTGGACGAATATAAATTTAATAAATTTTAATTACACAATTTTTGTTGCAATTATTTTGAAATGGGAAAAATCAATTTGTAAATAATTTGTAATAATATAAAAAAAAATCATTTCTCCAAACTAATTTTAAATAATATAATTTCGAATATCTATAGTTTTTAACCTATTTTTTTAAAAAAAAAATAAAGTTTTTTTTTTATCATAATTAAAAAAAAACAAAACAAAAGAGAGTTGGGCCGTATAGGGCCGTCGCGCCGAAAAATCCATAAAACTCAAATAAACAGTAGAGGAACCAGTATTTCTTCAACCCGCCCAAGAACGCCATACGCTCTCATTCAAAGTGGCGCCATAACGGCTACATCAGAGAAGCCATGAGTTTCGATTTAAGTAGCTCTTGAAAGGAGTTGGCGGAACTCTGTTTGAATTCTTTTGATTCCAAATAGGTTTTCTTTTTCATGTTTTTCAGATTTCAAAGACACCTGCGTTCGCGTTCTGGAGTTTTTTTTATTTCTAGGGTTTGTGCAATTTGGAATTTTTGAAGATCGCTAGGGTTTACAGGATTCGGTGATGGATCTTCCTTCGGAAGTTGAGAATTACATCAAGGAAACAATAGATCATGCATTAGGTCTCCCTGTGTCAGTGGAGACGCTGGAGTTGAAGCTTCGTGTCTCTCAGGATTCTCAGAGGCGACTTGCTCATCATTGCGATGCTCTACAGTCCAAAATCAAAGAGAAAGAACAGTTGATTGAGCGCAGTAGGGTCCGTATGTGTTGTTGATTCATTATTCTTCATTTCCATTTCAAGTTTTTCGTTTTTCTTACGACATGGGTTTCATTTCGCTGTTGATAGGCTGAAGCGACAATGAACGCTCAAGCTTTGAAGAAATTTGTGGATGAGAACCGTAAACTGGCTACCGAATGCTTATATCTTTCGGGTCAATGTGAGAAATGGGAGAGAGAGTGCTCTTTATATGATCATGACCGAGATGCATTGATGGAGTTCGGGAACGAGGCTGATCAGCGTGCAAGGGAGGCTGAGAATCGTGTTCGTGAATTGGAGGAGGAGGTTAGACGGTTATCAGATGAACTGCAGTTCTTTAAACATGAACACGAGATGAAAAAGGTAATAGCATCTCCTCTGAAGCACTCGTGTGTTGTTAGTTTATTTACGCAAATGGCACAATGAATTGGCATTTTTTAGATAATTGGTGAGAATTTCTAAATTTCTGTACTCGAAAGAACGTTAAGTGCAACCAAGGACTATCTGCAGTATCGTCCGTATCAAACTGGAAATTCGGATTAAGTAAAAGTGAGATGTGTAAATTTCCATTTCTGGGGAGTGCAGTGCAGCTCCTATTTGTGTGAATATAATACCTGTGGGATGTAGTTGCGTGTGTAAGATCGCATTCTAGTTTGTTTGGATATTTACAGGATTAATTGGTGGGCTTCCATTTTTAGATCGAGTGCTATGCTAAAATATTTTTGAACACCTGGGCTATCGTTTGCAATGTTTAGTCCCCCCTTTGATTGTCTTTTTAGTTGAAGGGTCATTGTCATATAGTAATGATGTTGTGACTTGAATGCTTTAATTAGTGGAATTGATATTAGGTAACTGTTTAAGGTGCTCGATGTCATTCTTTTTTATGAACGAAGCATTACAAAATGTCTATAGTTGTAAATAATGGTCTTATTTGAGCTCAGAAATTGTTGTTTAGTTATTTCATTGAAAATCAACTACTTTGTTGGTTAGTATTTATGTCAGTTGACAGTGATTGACTGTAGGATTGGTGAAATGTGATAGCTGTTCTTAGTTTAGGAATTATATATTCAATTTCCTAACAAATTTTACTTGTTCCTTTTCACCTCCCTATATTGTCCGAACTTTTGAGTTGAACCAGCAAATCAGGATAAAGTTCTTCCATTTTTTGAAGTTAAAATTGATAAATGTGCATGTTTTACAATGATTCAGGTTGATTCGTCTTCTGATGGTAGAGATTTGGAGGATAACTTACTCGAGTTGGTTTTACCAACATGTAATTGTTATGATCGAGTTAAATCTGCTCATGCATTTTTAGAAACAAGCATTGATCAAGATTCAAGCCAAAAGCTTATGAAAATGTGGAACTGGTGAGACTTTCTTTGATGATTTTTTTGTTTATTTCATTATGATGCAACATTACACCCAATAACTTATGGAACTGCAAAGAAATAATGGTAGAAGACAGAAAATGCAACTTAATATTAACCTTCTTTAGGTGTTTAGGTTGTAATTCTGTTAATCTATGTTGAAAATTTTCTCCTAGCTTAAAGCCTTCAACTCAAAAGACTCTATCACTAGCTGCATATGTGAAGGCCGTCGAGAAGGATTGCGAACATCTGAGGGTAAATCTACAAAGAGCTGAAGAAGAGGTGAGCGACGGCCTTTTTTCGGGAATGTTGCCTTTTTTATGTGTTTTGAAACCTTATTTGGCCCCATTAGTAGCGTGCTTATTCTAGTTATGCAGGTGAAATTGTTGTATGAAGATAATATGCTTCTTGACAAGGAGAACAAGAAGTTGCTGAAACGGTACCAGGAAGATAAAACCCAACATTCAGGTGATAAGCAGGCCAACAGTGAGTCTGCCGCCAAGGTGAGTCTCATTTATATTGTGTACTCGGAAGCTGTACTTTTCTGTTATCCTGTGGATGTTCATCAAAGATGAAACCTCTCCCTGACATACTCGTTTTGAAACCTTGAGGGGAAGTCTAGAAAGAAAAGCCTAAAGAGAACAATATATGTTAGTAGTGGGACAATTGGTATTAAAACCAGGCATCGGGTGGTGTGTCAGCAAGGACGCTGGGCCTCAAGGGGGTGGATTGTGGGATCCCACGTTGGTTGGAGAGGGGAACAAAGCATTCCTTACAAGGGATGTGGAAACCTCTCCCTAACTGATGCGTTTTAAAACCTTGAGGAGGGGAAGCCTAAAAGGGAAAACCCAGAAGGGAAAATCCAAAGAGGATAATATCTATAAGCGGTGGGTTTGAAGTTGGGCTATTACAACTTATTTATAACTTAATAAGTGTTATTAAATATTATAAGCTTGTTTTTGAAACTAACAACAAATGACAAATTTGATAACTACGTGTTTTTTAGTTTTTGAAAATTGTGCTCGTTTTATTTGTTACCGGTTGTTTTTAATCAAGATGTAACATCATCTTTGCCCTCTTATGCAGTCAAATAAGCGAAAATCATGCCCGAAAATCAGTATTCCGATTGAAGAAAAGAATATTATTAATGAGGCTGATTCTACCCGACAACCTCTTTCACCTTTGCAACATAACTCACCCGACTCGAGAACACGGAAGAAGTAGTTGCAACCCAAGAATAACACAGGTTATCCCCCCTCCATTTTCAAGCATAGACTGAGCTAACATAGCAAAATTTGAATATAGATACACTATAACATAATCTAGAGAGGTGTTGAGCTCTTCTAAATGAAAGAGCCTTTCTTTCACTTCTGTGTTTCCTTTGCTGCCCAATGTTATCAAGGAAACTCTCGTCTTGGTTTCGTGCCAATGTAGCTGAATTCTTGTTGTTCCTCGTCTGATTCCAAATGATACTTAGGCTTTGGATAAAATGTTGTAGCCATTTTGAAACTTATTTGAATGCCCATACATCATAGTTAGGAAGTTAAAAAGGTATAAAATATTTGGACAAGCGTGACGTGACGTGACCTTATTGTTAGGATGCTATTTCAGTGCATGGTCATGGTCACGGTCAAGTTCTTCAGGTATGTGTCAGTACTACTCTGGGCCTACGTTTTTCAGGAATTAGATGATTGTTGGTGAAATAACGTATGTGATAATACGAATTAGAGTAATTGCCAAATTGGCATGCGAAATCGAGAGAAGAAAATATCTGGAAAAATATAAATTTAATTTTACTGTTAAGTTTTGTATTTAACTTATATCCAATCACTTAGAAAACAAGAGAAGGATGGTTTATTTTTTATATATATGTTTAAACGATTCATTTTCAATGAAAAACTCCCATTTTAAAAGGAAAAAAAAAAATAATGTATTTTCTAGATTAAAAAAAAAATTATATATATATATATATGGCTTGGTGCCGAACCCGCTAAAATATCCAGATATTCCATCCGAAACGTCGTCGTTTTAAGCCTTTTCTGAGCTCCCTTATCCAATATTTATAACCCACGGCGTAGCTCTGTTTTACCTTTCCGACCAGGAGTGAGCAGAGTGCGGTGAGCGCCGGCAATGGCTCTGGTTCGTCTTCCTTGTTCTTCCTCCTTCTTATTCCTTCGTTCTAATCAACAGAATCTGGTGTTTATCGCGCCTCTCTCATGTCTGCAAAATCCATCTTATTCCAACAATGGCGATATCAAACTCTCTCTTTCGCGCTCTTCTTCCTCGCTTTTTTCTACTCCCCTCGGCCACAATCCTTTAACTTCCATTAGGGCTAAGAGAACCAGAAAGTTTGTTTTCCAGTTGGCCTCGACCTCCCAAGACGATGCGATAGCGAGCTCTTCTTCTGATGCTGAGGAGTTTTCTCGAACCAGATTGCTTGCTCAGAACGTGCCTTGGGATTCTACTCCTGAGGATATTCGTTCTTTGTTTGAGAAATATGGTACTGTCGTAGACGTGGAGGTATGTAACTTCAGTTTATTTCTGTGAGAGGACATTTCTATTGCCATTTCTGTTTGACGGATTTGGTTTATTGCGGATTGATGATCGGTCTTTTTTTATCAGCTTTCAATGTATAACAAGATCAGAAATAGGGGCTTGGCGTTTGTCACAATGGGATCACCTGAGGAGGCCCTTGCGGCAGTTAATAATCTCGAATCGTATGTAAGCAGGATGCCATTTTTCTTAGCTTGATCATTTTTCGTTTGTCTCATTGTGTTCAAGTTCGTATCCGAGGCTTAGAACAGTTTTTACCTTTCACCATGGAAGAATAGTAGTAATAGCAATTGAATGCGTTTGAATTATTGAACAGTTTGATTTGCTTGTGTGAGATCCCACTTCGATTGGAGAGGGAAACGAAATATTCCTTACAAGGGTGTGGAAACCTCTTTCTAATAGAAGTGTTTTAAAAATTGTGAGGCTGATGGTGATACGTAACGGGCCAAAGCGGACAACATCTACTAACGGTAGGCTTGGCCTTAGGCTGTTACATGGAAAAACTGATGAACCGGAAGAACTCAATTACAAATTTGCATCCTGCTTGTGTCCAGTGTGTTGCAGTTTCTTTTAAATTTTGATTCTTTTGTGCTTTTGAATATATTATTACAAGGGAACAAGTCATTGACTAAAATTTTTCAGTTCTCCTTGTTACTATGGGTTGAAGCAAAGTACATGGTCTTTCCATTCATTTCAAAACTTTTATGATCCCTTCCTGAACCAAACATGAATCTTCTGATTCATTTGGCTCTCACTCCCAATTATTGCAGGTGTTTATGGGCAATTCCCATGTCTTTTTGAACTCTTGTTGGCTTTATTGAATGAAATAGTTCACATGAATGCAGGAATTTGGGGGTCGTACCCTGAAGCTCAATTATGCTAAGGTTAAAAAAGAGAAACCCTCCCCTCCCGTGAAACCAAACCCCGTTACTTTTAATTTGTTTGTTGCAAATTTGCCATTTGATGCAAGAGCAAAGGACCTCAGGGAGTTCTTCGATTCGGGGAGTGGGAATGTAGTTTCTGCACAAATTATTTTTCACGAGAATCCAAGAAGGTCTTCTGGATATGGTTTTGTTGCATTCAAAACAAAGAAGGATGCCGAAGCAGCTATTTCTGAGTTTCAAGGGAAGGTAATTTCAGTATATTGCTACCACAATTTTTAAATGAATAGCCATAGGATCATAAAATGTGAATATCAGCATTCTTATGGTTCTTCATCTGCTGAAATGCAGAATTTCATGGGAAGATCACTTCGTGTTGCACGTAGTAAACAGTTTGTGAAACTTCCCTCAGAAGAGAATTCCCAATCTGACGATACATCAACTGATGGTGTGGAGCTAGCCAGTGCTGCTGCTGAAGTTTAAAATTCAGAAGCCTCTCACTGGAGGAACTAAGGAGTTTGCTATCAACCTTTCTTTCTTTTTCTTGTTCTCTATCTTTTTTTGGAGGTATGCTATCTAGTTATTCAATTAAGGAACACAGTACTTTCCCTTTTCTTTTACCTATAAATCTCCTACCTCTAATGTTTAGATGATTCAAAGTTGGATACCCCAACAAAAAACGCTCATTAGATCATTTACTGTATCCTTTTCTCTATATGAAGTCTTAATGGTGATTTATCAACGCACGTTAATGTAATTGAATTTAGCATTTAGTTAATGAATGAATACAAATGAACTAGGTTTCATAGTTGAATTGGCATCTTATGACTGTTTAGGTTCGAGGTGAGTTATTCCATTGCATAGTCACAGTATTGTATTGATTCAAGAACAAAGGACAATCAGTGCAATTTGATCCATGCGTATTTGCTTTACATAGATAGGTGGGTGGAGAAAGCAATCCCAATATGAATTTCTGTTCATGTGTACTATATTGCATGATCTCAGCATTGTACTTGCATTCACATTCATGTGTACTATATTTCATAATTGAGAACATTGAAGGACAACCTGTACAATTTGATTCTTTTTCTTTAAATTGACAAGTGTTTGGTGGGGTGGGGAGGAACAATTCCTCCATCTTTTCTCATTCATGTGTGCTATATTTTGCATAATCACAGGGTTGTGCTGAATCGATAACATTGGAGAACAGTCTGCAATTTGTTTGTTTAGATGATTCATTTCAATGCTTTAGGAAATCTAGTCCACTTTGAGTATCAGCATTTGAGTGAACATTTGTTGGTTCATATTTCATGAATGCTGGCCATCCCTTCAGTGTGAAGATGCAATGGATAGATATTATCCTCAAATGCAGTGTTGATTGTTTGTTCTTGTTCAAGCCATAATGAGTTTGAACTTGTTCATTAGAGCTTCATATATTCTTCATATTACTATATTGTTTCTCTGTTTTCTTTCTCTTCCCCTTTTTTCTATGAAGGTGGCATGCAGGTCGGGTTGGAGTTATGGCGTAAGTTGCGTTCGACTGTGTTTTCAAGTCTGGTTATAATTTCTTTCTTTATGTCTCTGTCATTCTCTCAAATACTCTTAGTTCCAAACCTTTATATGATTCATTCTGAGCTTTGGCGAATACTTGCTTAGACATGTTGTTTTCCTTTTCATGTAAGTTGTCTTCAGTGTTCTAATGATGTTGGATTTGCTTGTGTGAAATAGTATTAGCTCGGTTTTGGGACCAAGCCAACAAGTTAGTAGCTAAACCACTGCCAGAATCTTCCTACTCCACTGTCCTTACCTCTCAAACTATGGTTCTATAGTTGGGTTCATCATCTTGAGCTAGCAAAAGTTTATTGTCCTTTGAATAGATGTTTTTCCATCTAGTTCAACACCAAGGTTAGAACATTCTTGTCTCGACTTCTCAGTGAAAAGAAGACGAACGATCGCCTATGAATTCGGTAACAATCCGATTCCATAGAATTTCAAGTAAATAGCATCAAAGGAATACCATTTCCATTCCCATTGATTTCATTTTGATAAAATCGATATAGAGAAGATTAGCATGGCTCCTGTACAAGGATGACATGAACAAATCGAGAAATGGTATCAGAGCTAATCTTCAAGTGGTGTGCTAGCGAGGACGCTGGCCCCCCAAGGGGAGTGGTTGGTTGGAGAAGGGAACAAAACATTCTTTATAAGTGTGGAAATCTCTTCCTAGTAGACGTGTTTTAAAAACTGTGAGGCTGACGGCGGTATGTAACAGACCAAAACGGACAATATCTGCTAGTGGTAGGCTTGGACTGTTGCAAAGGCTCATTTCGATTCATTTTTCATTTTGATTTTGAGCAATCGATTGGCATGGCATTGGCTAGTTTTGCTAGGGGTTCCAACCTCCAACTCAGTGAGAAGGCAGGGAGTTGTGGAGAATAACAGTGGTGGGGTGGTTGGCTTGTTTGTGTAGGGAAGGGGACCCATGAAAGCCCCAACAACTCACGTGGAATGAAAGTGCACAAATTAGGGATGTTAGAGCCAAACCACCACCCAGATTTGTTGATTTAGACAAATAATGCACACACAGTTCATCTTCCATGTGAGTCCTTTTTTACTTTTTGACTCCTCCTGGTTTGGTGGAATGTTATATCATAACCAACCACATTTCCATTCATGGACTAAGGTTTAAAGTTCATCAAGATACCTATTTTATAAGGGTTCGATTTGTCACAATTTGGTTACATTTAGTTTCTCTCTTCGCTGTTTGTATCTTTGCAGGTAAGAAAACGAGCTAAATCAGGATTAGTCGGCAAGTTTTCTAGTTGGGACAGTGACAATCTGTCAATAAGTTCTTGGCTTGACATTTTAATTCCTCCTCATTCTTAGGTTACAAATATTTGCATTTTTAATAATACTCGAGTACTTTTATTAGGGTTTTCGATTAAAAAAATGTCATTGAACTTTCAAAAGTTTTATTATGTAACAGTCAAAGCCCACTATTAGTAGATATTATCTGTTTTTGCCTGTATTGCTATCAGCCTGTGGTTTTGAAACGCGGTCCGTTAGTAAGAGGTTTTCACACTCTTATAAGGAATGTTTTGTTCTCTCCTCCAACCGATGTAAGATCTCACAATCCACTCCCTTGGGGTCTAGCGTCATTGCTGGCACATCATCCGGTGTTCGATTATGATACTATTTGTAACAATCCAAGCTCACCGTTTCAAATATTATCTATTTTGGTCCGTTATGTATTGTCGTCAACCTCATAGTTTAAAAACGAGTCTATTAAATAGAGGTTTTTACACATGCATCTATTAGGGAGAAAGTTTCTACACCATTAGATATCTTTAATTTAGCTTATATTTTAATAAAATATAAGGTTTAGTAGACATGAAGCATTCATTATACATCATGCCATGCCACCTCCAAAGGATAATTATAATCCCAAGGACTTTCTACCACAACAACCGCCACCTTGATCCCAAAGAAATGGCACCAAAACTATCATTGTCTGGACAAATAAAATGAAGCCACCTTCACATGCATTCCTTCATTTGCACACAACCTATGCCATTGACTCGTCTCATCAAATTTGGCCCAAAGTACATGTAAAGAACTAATTGACCTCTTTCCCTATGCACATAATTTACCCTTTTTCTTTTGTCTTCCAACAGCTTAGCAAAGGATATAATGGTTTCTTGAAGATATGGTAAGCTAAATCAAAATATTATAAGCTTCTTCATACCATACTGTTCATCAATATTTGAACCCATTAAAGGGTTTCAAAAACTAAGAGTAATTTCAAACTTTCTTCATTTAAAGGACTAAATTCCCCAAATTCCCATTATGATGATACTGAAAAGTACTTAGCTCAAAGTGTTAGGTAAAAAGTATGGCTTAAGTTATCCCCCACACCACCAAAATTGTTTGAATTAAGACCAAACTTCACTGACTCTATTAACCAACAACTCCCCCTTCTTCCCCATTATATATATCCAAAGCCTTCAATCCTCTGTTTCCATCCTCAGATCTCTGCCTTGCCCCTTCTATTCTGCTTGTTAAATTTGTTACCTTCTAATGGCGAGCTTCCTTGGTGGACTTGTTTGCCTCCTGGTTCTTGGGTTCTGCATGGTGCACCCGACCTCGGCTACCGTTTATACTGTCGGAGACACTTCCGGTTGGTCTCTCGGTGTTGATTATGGCACGTGGGCTTCTGCGAAGAACTTCATCGTCGGCGACAAACTTGGTTTGCTAATGATTCTTCTGTTTTTTCTCATTTGGGAGTGTTGTTGAACGTATTTCATACATTTGTATTTCTCGTGTTCGCCTGTTGTTTCTGTTAGGAATCATGATTCTACACAAGGGTATGATATTGTCCACTTTCAACATAAGCTCTCGTGGCTCGTACCAATGGAGTTGTACTCCTTACTTATAACTATGATTATTCCCTAAATTAGCGGACTCACTCCCAAGAATCATCAACAGTTTTTCATGGGATTAATATCAAACAGCTTTTGTGCAGTTGCATATGCTCATATTCATCTCTTTTTTCTCATGAGAATAATGTCGAACAGCTTGTGTGCATTCGTATCTGCTCATATTCATCTCTTCTTTCTTATGGGAATAATGTCGAACAGCTTTTGTGCATCCGTATCTGTTTGAATGTTTATTTACTTTTTCTTGCGGGAATAACGTCGAACACCTTTCGAGCATGTGTATTTGCTTATATTTCCTTCTCGAATTTCTTCGTGACAGCGTTCAACTATGCTGGAGGCCACACGGTGGACGAAGTTAGTGCCAGTGACTACAAAGCATGCTCGGCTGGAAGCTCCATAACTTCCGACAGTTCAGGCTCCACCACCATCACCTTAAAAACCGCCGGGACTCACTACTTCATTTGCAGCTCCATGGGGCATTGCGATGGCGGCATGAAACTCTCCGTCAAAGTCGCTGCTGCCGGAGGATCGTCCACTTCTCCGTCTTCAGGGGGCGGCAGCTCCACCACTCCGACGTCCCCGGCAAGCGATACACCTTCCGTCACCGGAACCACGCCGACGACGAAGCTTCCAGCTGGTTCGTCGAATTCAGGGTCGTTTCTTTCCCCCAAATTCTACGCGATTTTGGTAGGTTCATTGGTGATGGCTTTGGGTTATTAAGAAGTTGAGATTATATGCGTTAATGTTTCTGAGATTTGAGATCGGCGATGGTTTGAATGTTGCCGGTTCGCGGTTGGTCTATTTCCAGACACTTATTAGTAAATTAATTTTGCATTTTTAAAGCTATTCAGAAATTTATAGCTTAATTAATTAAATTAAGGAATCAAATTAAAAACTAGGGTTAGGGTTTTGGGGGAGGAAACTTTCATTGGAGACCAAGTTCAAACACGGAATTTAAATTATTATTTAAATAGAATTTATGGATTTAATGTTTTTTTGGGAATACAAAAAGTGAAACTTTTATTTTTTTAATTAAAAAATTAAAGAAAAAAATAATAAAGGTAAAAAACAAAACGAAAAGAGGTAATTTTTAGCCAATAGATTAAAAAAAAAAGGTTAAAAGAAATGAAATAATATTATTATCTGAACTTAAAAGATCTTTTTTACCGTTTCTAGAACATGACTTAAAGACATGAAAAGAAAAGAAAAAAAAAATCATTTTAGAAATAAGAAAAATAATACCATGAATGAAGAAATTAAATGGGCCAAATGGACCCAGGGCCCAAAAGCAGTGGGCCCAAAGGGGGGAACCTGTTCGCGTTTTCTTTTGAAAAAGACGAAGTACTGTTGAAAGGCACATGGGGAAAGCGTAGGCGCGCACAAAGCGACAGCCTACAACCCCTTTGCGTTTGTTTGGTTCCTTTTTCATTATGAATCCCCAATTTTTTTAGAAAAAGAGGGATATGCCTAACAGAAATATTCACAATCACCAGCTGTCTTCGACTCCATTATTATCACCTTCCCCCTGAAGTTATTTCTAAAGTTTTTAACAAAGTTCTGTACCTTCGCCGACGTGGCGCCGCCGCTACCGTCGCTTCGATGTGCGGAAATTCAGTACATGGAGGAAAATGAAAACACAGAGATCCGGCAGATTAAGAGAGAATATGAGATCTAATAAGTAATAGTAATGACAATGAGAGTGAAGCAAATCGACTCGAGCACAGTAAAACCAAGAAATACAAATAAATGACAACAATCATGAAGCGGTCACCGTCTAAATCCTCTCGGATCCTAAGTACACCAAAAATAAAAGTAAATAAAAAATATACTAAGAAAACTACAGCAACGACTAATGCCGATAATGAAACCCTAAGATCTGCGTCTCCAGAGGAGAGCCAAGAGTGAAGACAAACCGATTAAATTTAAAGCAGTAGAGCAGAGGAAATTACAGCC